CTGGTACCGATTTAGTTTTATTTTATGGATATAAAATAATGCTTTTATTCAAGTTTGGTGATTTCTCAACATTTTCTATACTTTACCTTGTTTAATTTGTAAAAAATATTCTAAATTTGAATAAATATATACACGTTTTTTTTTTTTTTTTTTTTTTTTTTTTTTTTTTTTTTTTTTTTTTTCCTCCGATTTTTGGAAAGTAAGGAAGATAATGATCATCTAGCAATGGTGAAAGGTTTGGGAAGAAAAGGTTGAGAACCACTGAGCTTAGTTGCGTATTTAGGATCTTTACACACGTACACCATTTTGCTAATAGATGGCGCCACTGAAATTTGCTTTAAAATGTGGCGCCATTTGAGATAAGTCAATTACCTTCGAATAAGGATGTGACAGATTTGTGCTTTTCTTTTTATATGCTCTCTTTGTTATAAGATAATGTAAATTGCTATTATAACTTCAAGTGCAAACGCCCAAAACAAAAGGGGAGTTTTTGAAATCAAATTAAGCAAAAATGATTGTCACATTCTGCCAAAAAATAAGTAAAACAACCCAACAAACTAGCGTAATTTAATAGTTTCTTTAACTAAATTACAGAAGATAAAAAAAAAAAAAAAAAAAAAAAAAAAAAAAAAACCATTCTTTAGTTACACAGAAAAATTAGAAAGAAAACTCTGAAAGTAAAACTCAGAATTTGAGCAGGATAAAAAGCACAGAGCTGAATCAGGGTTTAATTTCAAAAATTAGAAGCACTGGAACTAATGCACATAAATAAAATAAATAATGGTTGAAATAATAAAATAACGAATTGTTGAAATAATAAAGTTATTGTAATTAAATAAAACTAAACTAAAAAAGCTCAGTGGTGTAACAGTCCCAATGGGCCAAGGCCTACAGCGCCCGAAATCTGCTTTCTTGACCGTGGGCCTCGGGGCCCTGAACAAGTGATCGGCTTGTCGCAGGGACCCCAGTGTTAGGTCCTCAAGCGAATTTGGTACTCATTTTCATCGACCCAAGTGATGGAAATTAAGACTGAGTCGACCTTGCCCAAACAGGAAATCGAACCCCGTACCTCTGGCTGCTGCAGCGCTATACGCTAGCCACTGCGCCACCGGGCCTCTCAGTTAAGTAAAATTCAGGATCTTGTCTTATTTAGGGCTCCGGCTTAATTGCAGTTTCGATCAAAATCTAAGAAATACTGTACTTGTTCTCTAGCTGAATTTAAACCCTGAATATACAATATAATGCACTGTTTCAAGGAGTGATAGAAATAAAGATAATTCTTTTGTCACATAGTAAGGAAAAGAGTAAAATGACTAAAGCGTTACTAAAGAGAATAGAGAAAGTTCTAGAAAGAGTATCACAGTATGTAAGATGACGATATTTTCGATTGGAAGATGATGATAATATTTTCGATGACGATGTTTTTAAACTGCGAAGTTTTTGAACCGCTTTATTTTCGACTACGATATTTTGTACCACAATGTTTTAAAATGACGAAGAATGTGGAAGAAAGTTTTTAAAATTTCAGTGTAGATATCATGCACAAAAGAAACAGAGAAGAGCCCAATACATTCTGACTATGACCCCCAACTGATATAACTCTAGATGTCGACCAGAATGTGACAGTGAACAAAATTTTGAATTCTTCTGAATCTGAGGATTAATATAAGCTGAGAATAAACCGAAAGTACGAGTACCGAAAGTCTGTACATGATACCACTTTAATCCTTCATATTTGGTTATATTGTTCCGAAAGATTTGTAAGTGCTCTTTGCAGTGAGAAGTCAGTAGCATGAAAGTGTCTAAGACATTTAATTGAAGTATGTATTGGAGGCCCGTTATGTATTGGAGGTCATTTAGGAACATAAACAAGGGTTATTTTTTTCTTCTGTATTATAACTCGTGATTAAATTTTTTAAAAAAAAACGATACCGAATAGGCGAAACATGATATGAAATATTTCTTTTGTGATTCACTTTCCTGAAGGAACAATAATTGAAAACTAGTGCTTTATCAGCATAAGCCGTCACTGGTTTTGCTGCCTTTTCTCGAAAATATAATTGTTTAAATGTGAAAGTTTACGAAGTTGTGCAACTTCATCTTTCATAAATAACGGCTTATAAACTTTTATTTTAAGAAATTATGCTGTTGAAAGCTTAGGAAAAGAGACATTTGCATCAATATAGAAGAAGAACCAAACTCTTTCGTTTATAATTTGGATAACTGTGACTACGGTATCGGCCGAAAACATCGCGGCCAAAAAATCTTGAACGAAAACGTCGCGGAGAAAACAACGCAAGGAGGAATTATCGTAGTGTAAAACATCGTGGGGGAAAAGAAAGCAAAGAGAAAACATCGCAGCTCTAAAACATCTCTAAATATCGTCCTTATTGGTAGAAAATAAAGCAGTTTAAAAACATCGTCGTAGAAAATATCATGGTAAAAAATAAAGTACCTACAACCCATCGCATGACGATAACATCGCACACATGCGATTTTCAGGTTTTAAAAATAAGTGCATATTCGCATAATGATTTGGGAGCGCAAGAAGAAAAAAGTGATATTTTTACTTCTATATTTCATATTTTTGAATGAACTAATAACATTTAGCTGAAGAAGGAAGAAGGAAACTTAAGCAATTGAAAATTAAAAATGAAAAGAAAATTAATGCAACTTATATTACTTAATTTTGAATTTACATAGTTAATTAACAAAGGCTGTTGTAAAATTTTACTGATAATTTTTCATGAAAAATACAGTCTAAAAGTGTTTAGAAAAAGGAAGATAAATAACTGCCTGTGGTTACCTATATAACAAATTGCTTTTTTAATTATCAAATTATTTTCTTTCACGTTTGTTAATCTGTTATTACTTTAGTAAAAAATTATATCTTATTTTGTTTCCCTTTTATTCTTAAAGTGTCATTAACATTTTCCCTCTCTTTCCCTCTTTCCTTCTTGCGCTTCCAAATCATTATGCGAAAATGCATTTAGAACTTTCAAAACCTAAAAAACGGATGTGTGCGATGTTGTCGTCATGCGGTCATTTGTAGGTACTTTATTTTTTATGACGATGTTTTTAAACTGCGAAGTTTTTGAACCGCTTTATTTTCGACTACGATATTTTGTACCACAATGTTTTAAAACTGCGACGTTTTCTCTTTGCTTTCTTTTCTCCCACGATGTTTTGTACCACGACGTTTTCGCCTTACGTTGTTTTCTCTACATTTCAGTGCTCTTCTGTTACGCGGAAAGCTGCTTCTACCAACTTCGCATTATCGTACTGCTAAATGCAAAGGTAAAAGTGGTGTTTCCGTGTAAGAGGAGTACCAACTAATCTATCCGAAATAAACAAACCGACTCTGTCATTTTCTCCTTAAAACTATACTTTTATTGGGTTATTTTACCGAGACACGATCGACTAAACCAACCCCCACAACTCGTGTAGTAATATATCTAATTACAAAAGACAGAAAATTGCTCAATAGTTTCATGTAACATGTTATTTTGAATGTCGCATCCTATATTCTGTATTTTAATATTTTTTAGGGCAAAGCTAAATGCATTTATTAAGCTCCAGTAAATCATACTTGTTCATTTCGTTTATTCCTTATGCCGATGCAAAATTGTATTGTCATAAATCGTAAACCTAATAAAATAAAAATAATTTCTTGAAACGTTTGGGGCTCATGAATCAGTTACGAAAAGACTTTGAATTATCAAGAAGTTGTTTATTTATTTAGATGTAAAATCTTATGTCCTTAAAACAGCCTTCCTTTCACACTACTGTTTCATCTAAATATATTTTAAGTTTATACCACTTTAAATAAACATGAAACTAGAATTTAAGATACTTATGTCTGAAGTTTAGCTAAATCTTAATGGACAAATTTTATGAATATTTTTCCGTTTATCAATGATTATGATAGCATTTTATGGAATAACATTTTATGAAAATGCTACTTCTTTGATTCAGGCTAAATTTTAATTTTATTTTTCTTCGGTATTTAAACTTTTGAGACGAGTGGTATATTAATGCCTATTTAAATGAAACGGAAATTAAAATTATAGGGTACCACTTAATTAATTAATTTAAACTTGGTTTCTAGTGAAAATATCAGCCGCTTATCGCTCCGGCTACTAAATCAACTAAGAAGAAGATTTAAACAAACTTCTGTTTTAAAACTTTGAACTTAACAAATGCACGGCTTTTGCATACTGAATATTGTCCGCAGCTTGCGAAATTCGAGTAGCATAAAATGAAACATAAAGTTTAAAGTATATGAACTCTGGAAATTTTCAGAGCAGAAGACTATCAAGTACTGCCTCACCTAATCTAATTGCGCGAGTAATTCGGTCAGCAAAGTCTGACACCGGCCTAAATTAGCTTACAAACCTGGGTTAGGAAATAGCGCAAAGGTCAGCTTCGCGGCAAAACCTTCCCTGTTAAACTTTCGAGAGTTCTGTTCTTATATGCACCTATATAATTTGTATCCTGGTGAGAGATGAGGAAAAGTTGAAGTGATAGCATAGACCCAATAAGAAGATAATACATAAATTAGTTAACAAAAACCTTACAAAACAATTTTGTGGGGATGATTCACTATTGTACTCAGTATTTCAGTATATCTTATTTACATTTTAAATATATGGGATCGGGGAATCTCCAAATCAGGTGGACCAAGAAAATTCTCCAGCTACACAAAAGAAGCAGTAGAAAGAGTTAAATGTTCTTAACTCTAACGTACCATCATCAGGTTTTTACCTATATACCAATTATTGACCGACTCTACGTATGCGCAAAGACTTATTAATATTTGAGCGGAAACAGTGATTCATACTAAAAACGTAAATTCCAATGTCATTATCAGGATGTTTACTTCCTGTAAATCGCAGACGAAAACATGGTGAGGAGAGGAAGTCGGATGGAAACTAGTCATCGGACATCATATATACATGCCAGTACCTCACATTCGTGACCAAAGTCATGCTGAGAGACGCGAACAGTTGCGGAACTCAAATAATTTGCATTGCGGTGGCAGTTCTATCACTCATAGTTTGCCGGTGGATGAGTAACAAGGATCTAGAGAGGTAATTTCAATGAAAGGTGAAATATAAGCTTGTATTTAACGTTTGCTCGTAAAGTCAAGCTGAGCTGAAGAATGATTAAATGAGGATGTAAATATATAAATTATAATTTTGCTTGATTAATCAAGCTTATTTTAAAGTCGTACAATTGGCAATTTTGCATTATGTACCTAAAACAATGTAAGATGATTATTTTTTACATAAATCTATATTTAAATGTTTTGCAAATTCAAAAGCAGTTAATGGTAGAATCGTTAAATTTTTTACTTTAAAGCCGTACTTCAGTGAAATTGAAAATGATTTAATGCTTTATTGAATAATGCTAGTATAACCAAGTCTAAGGTGAAAACTCAATAATTATAAAACAAACAAAACAGATTTTAGGGAATCTGAAACACACGAGCTTCTTAATTTTATGTTTTTTGGAAATAATTGACAGAATTTCCTGAAAGTATTAAAGAATACCAACATGCAGGTCATTGAACGTCGCAAGCGGAACTGAATTCTATGTATTGTAGAGTTAAGTTGGAACACGTACGTAAATTAGAATTTTGAAAGCTTGTTGACTGAAAAGAATTCCTCTGTTTTTTCCATATAATTGTATAAATTTTATGCTTGGCATGACTGTTTTTAAATGCACATTTGCTCTTTACAATACAACGGAATTATTGAATGTATTTGCTGCATGTAGCCCACATAATTAAATGGTAAACGCTTTCACAGCGAGTTTTTAAAACGATTATAGTAGTTTGATCAAATTTTACGACTTGATATGTAGATCTATAGATATATATATAAGAGTCTTAAAATAAGTCTCAAAAAAGTCGTAAATATTAATCCTTCATTTTTCATGTATATACATATGTATGTATATATGTATCAGTAGTGGGCGCAGCCCGACCATATGTATATATCTATATGTACACGAAATGAAGGGTTAATATGTATCGGTTTGTTCCCACACATTGTTTAGAAATTAAAGATAATATGAAATTTCGCGCCGAAATAAAATATCAAGTTAAGAAGTATCATCGAAAAACTTTAATATAAATTCTAATTCTAGTAGAAAGGCTTATTTCTTCTTATGATTTGTAAGTATTTCTCAAGTCTTTTGTACTAGGAGTTTCAAATACTTATGCTTTGATATGATAATGCTTTTATTATGTTTATTATGTTGTTATACATATTTATTAGGGTATAAACTTCATGTAATAATTACGTTTTTTCAGCCTGTTTAATATTTTCAGAATATAGTCTTCCAGGAAACATAGAGTATATTTGAAAATTTCAATTATGTTGGTACCGTTAAAAGAGAAGTTTAGTAAGTTTCTTCCTAGGAAACAGATCTTAAGATAATTATTGATACGCGTTGAGGTAATCTTTTAAATTTAGATTGAAATAGAAGTCCGCTTTAAAACGGAAAGTTAATATCAAGTAAAATAAAGGTAAAGATCAAATTTCAAGAAAATATTTTATCTATCTATTTAGTGCCTTTATAAAAAGTGCAATAAGCCATCATGTATTAATATTCCAGTTCATCATTAGAACAAAAGCATCATAGCAAGTAAGAGGAAGCAATAAAAATGCTTGCAGAATGTTAATGAATTTTACAGCAAAGTTAAATGAAATCAGAAATTTAATTGCTTACTAAACATTGCGCAGAAAAGAGAAGTTTTTAAGGGAAAGGAAAGTAGAAAATAAGGCAATACCTTTGCCTGCATTCGAGCACGAACCTTTGAATATTCTCTTAGTATGCTAACTTTTACACCAGAAGCCCACGAGACAGAAATGCTTTTAATTTCTTCAAAGCAACTACCATTAACTAGATTTAATGAAACTGCTTGTTCTAATTAGTTCAAATATCAAAGCTCCAAAAATATATTCAAAAATATTTTCACAAATATTTCTGTACGTTTCAGCAAATATCCAAACTTATTCTCATCCAAACAATAACTAAGTAATAGGATGTAGGTATTCTAATTACAGTTCAAAATTACGTTAAATAACGCAGTGTCGGGTAAGTTATGGTGTGTTGCTCAGATGCTTAGACCAACTGCTTGTTCAGCGCTTCCTAATTTCAGATATGTGTTTATAAATACATACTGAATGAATGTGAAACTGAAAGTGTTCAAAGTATTGGGACAAAAGTGTCGTTGCCTTGAGTTAGTGGCTTCTTTTTATTTTTGTGAATGGAATAGTAAATCTCGTTATTAACTAACAAAGCTTAGGTCAACTAACAAAGCTTGTGCACTTTTATAAATGCTCCATTTGCTCAAAATCTAAATTTCTTTGAAAAAGTTTCTGTTTCAAAAATTATTTGAGTTCTTTGATAAAGCTTGAAAAGGTTTAAAAAAATAAAAATAAAAATAAATTGTTTTACACTTTTTTGTTTTTTCTGTCATGTTCTAAATTGCACCACAGCTTTTACTTCTTAGGAATAGGGATTCACTCCTTAAACTACACTCTTTAATAGTTTTTAGATATATATATATATATATATATATATATATATATATATATATATATGAATTCAAAATAATTGTAAAAACGCCGAAAACATTCATATCAAATGCATTAATCCTTACTTTTATATGAGTTAATAAAACGCCAAGGACAATAGTACTGTATCAAGAATAATTAATTTAGATACTTTTTATTCCGAAAAAAAAATTGGTATAAAATACAGTTTTGGTGTTTGTACTGAATTCTGCTAGATAACGAAACAAAAATTTGCATATTTTTGTCTTAATATCAAAATGCTAAGTAGAAATAGTTTTACAATGCATATAAATTCAGTACTCTATTAAATTAGAAGAAACTCTTGTGGCGTAATGGTTACCACATCTTGCCAGAGTCTAATTATCTCCTAAACCCATAAGACCCAGGCCAAGGCTCGAGTTTTAGAGCCACTAAGTCAAACTTTAATTTCTCATTAACATTGATTTTTCTTGTGAAACCTAGGAAAATTATGGTTGGGAGTCCCTAAAAGGATCTTTGCACCTAGAGCGTCATAATGGGGCTCTGCATTTATTTGGAAACTAGAAGATCGCTAGTTAGATTCTCAGCAACAACCTAATTGATTTTCATACGTCCCACTTCAAAAATGCTTATAATCTATACAGTGTTATTTTTGCACAAATTGTTTTTTACTTAATTATATTTAAATTACTTTGCGTATCTCAGATAGACATCAACATTAATGGTACATGGGAAAATATAATTTTGCGTTTGTAGCGATAAGCCTTATAAGTTTTCGAAGTTATAAATCTTTTGTTTTTCTCCTGGAGCTCCCAAAACGAAATATTAAATTTCAAGCTTAAGTGTTTTTAAAACTTAAGTTATTAAATACAGATATTTTAGTTCCGGTCAGGTTACCTTTTGGTGAAATAAAGTGCATATCTGAGACTTCAGTGTTAAGTAAGTAAAAATAACTGTAGTAAACATATTTATTAATGTGCATGCGATTATATATTTCGTGCGGAACCTAACTTCTTCAACGCTAAATTCAGGTTCCTTGTAGAAAGTCGGGCAACTACGTCTTAAGTTTTCTAGTGAATAACAGAACTTAACAGCTTATACGGCTCGTTTAATTACAGAGCAAGTTACCGCTTCTTGCAGGATTAATAGAATATAAAAGTCAAAATTTCGTAATTCAAATAGGCAATTGGCAAGGCAAAGTCATATTATAATTTTTGGCTCAGGTCATCAAATCACTCGAGCAAACGCGTCAAAAAGAGGCTAAAGCCGATTCGGGTAATTCTAGAAATTAGGCAAAAATAGTTGTCAGATGGTCAGCGTAGCTAATAAAAGCTCTACTCTATCTTCAAGAAATCTGTATACTTGTGAACTAATCTCTCTCTTAAAGGAAGCCCACGAAAGTAGAAGTGACATTAAAGATAAAAACAGTAAGATAATGCATTAATAATCATAAACCCTGCAATTTAACAAGCGAATCTTTATTACTCAATGTACAGTTAATTTCCGATAATTTGGTAGCCAGGTAATCAGACTCTTGTATATCCACGTTAGTTAATCACGCCAGGTAATCAGACTCTTGTATATCCGACAGAAGTACTTTCTAACAACGTTATCTTGATGTAATCGGAAACTCCGCATTCAGTGTACGCCGAAAACATCGCCTTCGAGAATATCGTGGTAAAAAATAAAGTACCTACAAATCTTCGTCGCAGATATATTTGTTCAGGCTTTAAAAGCTGCCAATGTAGTATATTCGCATAATGATTCGTGAGCGCAAGAAGGTATGAGGGATATTTTTGCCTCTATATTTCATATTTTCGAATTAATTAATAGTTTTTTACTAAAAAAAAGCAAGAAAGAATCTTATGCATTAAAAAACTGAAAATGAGTATGAATTTAATGCTACGTAAAGCAGCTAACAGAGTTTTAAATTTATGTACTTAGCTATTAAAAATCATTATTTAATTAATCTTTCATAAAATTCTACTGGCAGTTTTTCATGAATAATATAATCTAGAAAAGAAAAAAAAAAAAAAAAAAAAAAGAAGAAGAAGAAGATCCGTAATTGCATGAGGTTTTCCATATTAAAACTATTTAATTAATCAACAAATTGTAAAAATATTTTCATTCACTTAGCTAGTCGGATATTGTTTTGGCAAAAATTAACTCTTGTTTTGTTTCAGTTTATTTTTTCTTAACGTGTCATTAGCATCTCCCTGTTAACCGCTTACATGTTGATTCGTTAGCTATGACGAAACATGGCAGAGCTGCTACAGAATATTTCCGTAGGAGATTTGGATTTATTCTGTTATGTCAAAGCGCACTAGGTCTGTCTGCCCAAGGGGATGTATGCATTTCTGGAGCCCTTTCCTAGGAATTGGCTCGCATTCCATATTACACTTTAGGAAACCCACAAAAAAAAATCTCATGCAGCCAGATCGTTCACCGGATCTAACTAGCAGGGTTTAGCAATTTTATCGCTCGGTAGGTAGTATTAACGGAAAATAGCTTGTTTTTATATAAGT